AGGACAGGGTCGCCAGGCTGAAATACCCGCCACTTAGCCTTAGCATCGTTTCGTTCTTTCATCTTTTCTTGGGCCTTCCCAAGATACTTTAGTGCAGCCGCCTTGCAGTCCTTGAGTCTCTGGTGGTGTTGCGCAAAGAAAGCCGAACCTTCGGTTAACGTTACGTTCCCTAACAGATTCTCCTGTAACATTTGCAAGGGTCCACGAACTTTATGGCCAAAGACTAACTCAAAAGGAGAACAACCCAGTGAACTTTGTAACCCCTCTCTAGCGGCAAACAAAACATACGGCAAATTCTCATCCCAGAAGGTGTGGGAACTCTCGCACGATGTCTTCAACATCTGCTTCAGAGTTAGATGGAAACGTTCAATTACCCCCTGACTCTGTGGATGGTATGGGCTGGAAACCTTATGAGTTATTCCATGGTCCTTACAAAATTGTTCAAACATATCAGACTTAAAGTTAGTACCATTGTTAGTTTGCACGACCCGAGGCAGTCCAAAAGTGGAAAAAAATTGTAACATACGAGCAACAACAGTCTTTGCTCGGATGTTCCTTACAGCAAAAGCCTCTGGGTAACGAGTCGTGATACACATCATCGTGATTAGGTAAATATTACCAGACTTAGTTCTAGGTAATGGACCAACATAGTCCATTACCACATGAGAAAATGGTTCTCCGGCACGACAATAGGCCTTAGAGGAGCTTTAGGTGGAGTCTGGTTTGGTTTCCCAACCAGTTGACAAACAATACACGCATTGCAAAATTTTGCCACATCGCTTTTCAGCTTGGGCCAGAAAAAATACTTTCAGATTTTGTGATACGTAATATTAATACCTTGATGTCCCCCCATAGGATCATCATGAGCAGCTGCCAAAACTCTTTCTCTATAGCAGGTCGGCAACATAACCTGGTGGACTACCTCCCACTCATTTGACAAGGGAGCACTCTGTGGTCTCCATTTTCTCATCAAAATCTGATCATTGTAGTAGTACCCAGTTGCTGCTTCTACAATTTCCTCCCTAGAGATGGCTAACTCATAACATTCTGCAAGACTGGGGTCAGCTTTCTGTAACTCACTCAAGGAGGCGTCCAGGCCTTGGTCAGATGCCATTGGACGAGGCTCAACAGCGTTCTCCTCCACCTCCCCACTACTCTCGGTAGGCGGCGGTGGCAGGCTCTCCACAATGTCCTCGGCCACGTCATCGAGTCGGGCCATGAATGTGTCCGCAAGGTCCACTTGGCTTTCACCACTCGGAAAGTTCCTCGTGTCCTCGGGATTTACCACCTTGGCAAGCACAGGGCTGCCCTTACATTTAAGTCCCATAGACCTGGTCACCGCGCACGCAGGGTACACAACATTATCCTCTGCGGCAGGTGGATCCAGGCAAACCTTAGGGGTAGGCAACATAATAGGCAGTCTGGAGTCCCCTACCTTATCCCCTGCTAAATCATTACCAACTATTACATCAACATTAGGGAAAGGTAGGTACGAAGTGACTCCGACTGTACAAACACCCTTGTGGAAATCAGATTCCAGGGTAACCTTATGGAGGGGTACTGCTCGAGTATCACTAGTGACACCCTCGACCAGTACCACCTCTCCAGTGTCGAGAGTGTTGGCACCTTGCAAAGCACTCTCTAAAATTAAAGTCTGGATGGCACCGGTGTCTCGGAAGATCACCACGTCCTTCCAGGAAGAACCCTCAGACAAAAGTAGTCTCCCTTTCGATAAGAATGGGGTAAGCAAGTCCAACCACTGCGGGTTGGAGGTCTTACTCCCTAACCCTTCCGAAGGCCTCAAGCCCTGTGTCACAACTAGAGCATTGGGTCTTTTTTCCGGGTACAGTTGCCAACAACGGCTAGTAATGTGGTTTGGACGTTTACAGTGACCACAGATACGTCGGGGAGAAGAGACATTACTAACAGAATTACCCTTCGGTTCACTCTTAGGTGTCGTGGGGCTAGACAATTTAACAGGGTTAGTTATGTCTGAAACAGAAGGTGCAGTAGTTAAAGGGTTAGAATGAGCTGGTCTGGACTGGCTGTGGGTATAAGTTTTGCTACTCTGTGAGGTATAATTATTTTTATTGGGCCTTTTGCCCGCCAACTGGTAGTTTTCTGCCATCTTGGCCAAATCCCCTATTTTAGAATCTACCTCTATCCTTCCTCTAATAAATTGTGCAACATTCTCTGGCATATTATCTATAAAGTGTTCCATTAAAACTACATTCTTTAGTGCCTCGTATGTTTCGGCTTTAGCCGAGCGAATCCATTTATCAAACAATCTAATTTGATCATTAGCAAATTCAGTGAGTGGTTGGTTGTGAGTAGGCCTAAGGTTGCGATAAGCTTGGCGGTGAGCTTCAGGAGTAATTTCATATGCCCTTAAAATTCGCTCCCTGACTTTATCATATTCAAAACACTCGTCGTCAGGCACGTTTATAAAAATATCTTGTGCTTTACCCCTAAGCCGCCCCTGCAAGATTTTCACCCACTCTTCCCTTGGCCAGTTCATGGACATGGCTAGTCTCTGAAAATGGTTGAAAAATCTTTCAGGGTCTGACTCTGAAAATTCAGGTAAGTTATGTTTTTTATCGGAATGCCTGGGGTTTGAGTCATTTTTGAGCCTTTGCTCTTCCACTTTAACATTTTGTTCTGCTACTCTGGCCTCTTGCTCTGCCAGTCTTAACTTGGCTAGTGTTAATTCTAACTCTATATTTCTACTAGCTACACTTTCCCCTGAACTGGGCTCGCATAAAATTGTGTCACTTGGCACTAGTTCTTGGTCTATACAATGCCGTAAAATTTCATTCACCAAGGTCCACTTTTTATCAGTGTCGTTTAACTCGAGATCAAATTCCTTGCCTAACAATACTAAATTTGCTTTGGTGAGCTTCTTAATCTCTACCACTGAAGGATCCTTTGCCAGTTCCTGCATTTTAGATGCCATCATTAATAACTTTAGCTCCTAGCAAAGGAAAAAAATTAAAAAATAAAAATTGGAAAAAACAAAAATTTGCACGGCCCCTAACACAAGGCCACACTAACCTCAATCGTGAAGGGATCCAGCTGGGTGTCCAGTCAGTGCAATCCTTTGCTAGATGAGCTGGTCCCTAGGCTAACACACAACCGTTCAGCGGAAAACAAGAATTTTTAGTTTTGGCACTCAAGAATCTAATTTTTTACAATTATAATGTTCCTCCCGGTCAGGCCAACCACTTGTTATAAATGGTGGACTGTACTATGGGGGATCTAGTATAAATGGATGTAGGGGCAGTAGTTAGCATTAAGAGTTATCAAATATGGGAGATCTAAAAGGCCCGGCCCCCAAAATAAAATATCCACAGTGAATATTAATTGGCTACAAGATAATGTCAGTCTAGAGGTTGATCATAGATCTCCTACACAGGAAGAATGGATACTCCTTTAACTAACTTACTTATTTATTAACCCCTTAACAACCCCCCATATACATTCTCACCAATAACAATAATAATAATTACTTTACCACACTATCTTACGTTAAAAGCCTTGGTCCACATAAGCAGGATACAAGGTTTACACTGAGAACAAGCTAGGGTAAAGTACTACTAGTGAAGCACTTGAAGCTTGGGCAGCTTAGGGGTAGTGAGCCCACGTGGTACCTTAACACAACACAACACTAATGGGTACCCAAAACACTGGCAAATACTACCCCAAGGTCTCCACCAATCTTACAAACCCAGAGTAGGCACACTTAAAAAACACAGGACTTAACTTAATGGTACAGGAACTTAAGGTAAGGGAAATAAGTAAGAGGAAAGGTAGAGGAGTGCAGAGCAGCTCAGAAAGGTCTTGACCCCCACGAACGCCAGTCAGAGAAGACGGAGCGTCTCCACTCTCCTCCCTCAGTTCACTCGCTGCCAGCAGACTACTCAACTAATCGTACAGCATTCCTATCCCAAGTTTACTCAGGTTTACTTTACAAATGATTAGAAAGTATTAGTAAACATAGTTGGTGCCTATTTTATTATTTAATAATCAACCCCAAGCTCAGTCTTTACATGCTCTGTGAGAAACAAGAATCGTCTTACGTCTGGCAGGGAAGATACGACAAATGCACCTCGTCATGCGTCCCCAATACTATAAGGTAGTTTATTTAGCTCAATTTTGACCTCTGGTTTCCACTGAGGATCCCAGGGTCGTAACAAGCTGATGCATTACATAGTCAATCTAGGGTACAAGTCCAATATATCATCAAGTGTTCCAGTATTCATATAGTAGTTACAGAGTCCAGCATACCTCAGCCCAGGAGGGCGAAAGTCAGTCAATATGACTGAGTACAATATAATGTAACAGGGAGTGCATGTTTTCTCTTTCACAACGTTGACACACTGTGTATTGGACACTTTCACTACGTTGACACATAGTGTATTGGACACTTTAGCAACGTTGACACATGGTGTGCTCAACACTTTCACAAAGTTGACACATTGTGTACTCGACATTTGGGTTTTGAGAAAGCTGCCAGATACGTCTATATCCCAGGCGTATTCTGGCCACTATAACATCACATTGCCGGGTTCTTGTTCTATTAGTCCCATATGTGAATGTCTCCTCACGATATCTATCATAATATTTAATGCTACAACTTTCAGGTCTTTGTGAATTTGCTAGGTCAGTAAGATTTTTATTAGATATTTATTTAAGTATCTCTCTGTCATTGCGAATGAAACACCCATATTAATTTCTACTGCTGGTCTACTACAGGCTGCCTTTGCAATCATGTCAACTCTATCATGCTTTGAGAAACAAGCATGTGATGGTATCCAGATAAATTTAGTCTGAAATATATTTTCTTCGGCAGCTAAAACATTCATTCGAATATCATTAATTATTTTCTGGGTGTTACTACTATGTGCGTTTAGGGCTCGGGCGGGTAGGCGGTTCCATGGGTTCATATCCCTCTGGGTGACGAAGCATCTGTTGTTCTCACCGGGTTGACGTCTTCACACCTCATGAAAGACGGCAACACGAGAATGTTTTATTCTTTTAAAGTAGAAGAAGACAAAATGAAGCATAGAGCGCGGCGTGTATGTTTACCCGCGGCGTCTAGTAACGTCATAGGTGCCAGGTCTATGTGAGTAGTTTACTTGCCAGTCATACACTGAGGTAAGTGTAGGCAACAGGTGTCGCCAAATGTGTTGTGCGAGGCAGGTTTGGTTGGACGACGTAGTCCAACGTTATCGTCTGCTCTACCTTGTAACGATATAGTGTTAGAGGCGAGTGTGGTGGTAGTTAGGTAGTGGCAAGTCTACCAGTTGCCATAGTGAGAAGAGGTACACAGCGGCCCGGCCACCACAACCACCACCTCCCCGGCCACCACCACCACCAGCCACAGTCAACCTCACCACAGTGTGGAGACCGTCGTGAGCGCTCCTCACCTGTGCTGCCTCTCCTGGTCCAAGGTCAGTGTGGGTGGTGTTGACCACCCCGGGGTCACGCTGCTCTGTAATCACCAACATTTGACCCATTAGGAGCCTGCAAATGCTAAACGCCTGATGTTTAAACGTGGTAATTTGATAATAGGCTTGACCTATTTATCAATTGCGACATCATTCCATCTACGGCAATTATCTGAAGCAAGATTCAGACTGAACTCCAAAATTCGAATTTAATAAAGGCCGTTATTTCCACATTAACTTAATTCAATAAAATGCATCAGAATAAAAAAATCACAATATAAATCAACTCAAATTACAAAATAAATAAACCTAAATTATAATAGAAATCAACTAAAATTACATATAATTAACTAAATTAAAACACAATTAAATATTATTTTTCTCAACTTGTTAAATAATCAACAACAATTTGAGTTAATAAATAAGTTAATTACACAAGCGCGAGTGATGGTTCTTTTGTTTCATGAGTCTATTGTTGAAGGGTTGTTGTTGTTGAGTGCCGTGCTGAGGCACCAAGTGTCACACTGTCAGCCACACCTGAGGCACCAAGTGTTACACTGTCAGCCACACCTGAGGCACCAAGTGTTACACTGTCAGCCACACCTGAGGCACCAGGTGTCACACTGTCAGCCACACCTGAGGCACCAAGTGTTACACTGTCAGCCACACCTGAGGCACCAGGTGTCACACTGTCAGCCACACCTGAGGCACCAAGTGTCACACTGTCAGCCACACCTGATGCACCAGGTGTCACACTGTCAGCAACACCTGAGGCACCAGGTGTCACACTGTCAGCCACACCTGAGGCACCAAGTGTTACACTGTCACCCACACCTGAGGCACCAGGTGTCACACTGTCAGCCACACCTGAGGCACCAGGTGTCACACTGTCAGCCACACCTGAGGCACCAAGTGTTACACTGTCAGCCACACCTGAGGCACCAAGTGTTACACTGTCAGCCACACCTGAGGCACCAAGTGTCTCACACTGTCAGTCACACATGAGGTACCGGGTGTAACGCTGTCAGTTACACCTGAGGCACCAAGTGCCAAACATGAGGCACCAAGTGTCATACTGTCAGCCACACCAGAGACACCAAGTGTCACACTGTAAGCCACACCTGAGGTACCAAATGTCACACTGTCAGCCACACATGAGGCACCAAGTGTTACACTGTTAGCCACACCTGAGGCACCAAGTGACACACTGTCAGCTACACCTGAGGCACCAAGTGTCATACTGTCAGCCACACATGAGACACCAAGTGCCACACTGTCAGCAACACCTGAGGCACCAAGTGACACACTGTCAGCCACACCTGAGGCACCAAGTGACACACTGTCAGCTACACCTGTGGCACCACGTGTCACACTGTGAGGCACACATGAAGCACCAAGTGCCACACTGTCAGCCACACCTGAGACACCATGTGTCACACCTGATGCATCTAGTATCACACTGTCAGCCACACCTGAGGCACCAAGTGTCACACTGTTAGGAAGACCTGAGGCACCAAGTGTTACACTGTCAGACACATCTGAGGCACCAAGTGTCACACTGTCAGCCACACCTGAGGCACCGGGTGTCACGCTGTCAGTTACACCTGAGGCACCAAGTGTCACAATGTCAGCCACACCTGATGCACCAAGTGTCACAATGTCAGCCACACCTGATGCACCAAGTGTCACAATGTCAGCCACACCTGATGCACCAAGTGTCACAATGTCAGCCACACCTGATGCACCAAGTGTCACAATGTCAGCCACACCTGAGGCACCAAGTGTCACACTGTCAGCCAGACCTGAGGCACCAAGTGTCACACTGTCAGCCACACCTGAGGCACCAATTGATACATTGTCAGCCAGACCTGAGGCACCAAGTGTCACGCTGTCAGTTACACCTGAGGCACAAAGTGCCACACCTGAGGCACCAAGTGTCACACTGTCAGCCACACATGAGGTTCCGAGTGTCACACTGTCAGTAACACCTGAGGCACCAATTGATACATTGTCAGCCACACCTGAGGCACCATGTGTCACACTGTCAGCCACACATTGTGCACCAATTGATACACTGTCAGCCACACCTGAGACACCAAGTGTCACATTGTCAGCCACACCTGAGGCACTAAGTAGTACACTTTCAGCCACACCTGAGGCACCAAGTGTCACACTGTCAGCAACACCTGAGGCACCAAGTGTCACACTGTCAGCCACACCTGAGACACAAATTGTCACACTGTCAGCCACACATGAGACACCAAGTGTCACAATGTCAGCCACACCTGAGGCACCAAGTGTCACACTGTCAGCCACACCTGAGGCACCAAGTGTCACACTGTTAGCGACACATGAGGCAACAAGTGTCACACTGTCAGCCACACCTGAGACACAAATTGTCACACTGTCAGCCACACATGAGGTTCCGAGTGTCACACTGTCAGCCACACCTGAGGCACCAGGTGTCACACTGTCAGCCACAACTAAGGCACTAAGTGGTACACTGTCAGCCACACCTGAGGCACCTGGTGTCACGCTGTCAGTTACACCTGAGGCACAAAGTGCCACACCTGAGGCACCAAGTGTCACACTGACAGCCACAACTAAGGCACTAAGTGCTACACTGTCAGCCACACCTGAGGCACCAAGTGTTACACTGTCAGCTACACCTGAGGCACCAAGTGTCACACTGTCAGCCACACCTGAGGCACCAAGTGTCACACTGTCAGCCACACCTGAGGCACCGGGTGTCACGCTGTCAGCCACACATGAGGCACCGGGTGTCACGCTGTCAGTTACACCTGAGGGACCAAGTGACACACTGTGAGCCACACCTGAGGCACCAAGTGACACACTGTCAGTTACACCTGTGGCACCACGTGTCACACTGTCAGCCACACCTGATGCACCAAGTGTCACACTGTCAGCCACACCTGATGCACCAAGTGTCACACTGTCAGCCACACATGAAGCACCAAGTGCCACACTGCCAGCCACACCTGAGACACCATGTGTCACACCTGAGGCACCAAGTGTCACACTGTCAGCAACACCTGAGGCACCAAGTGTCACACTGTCAGCCACACCTGAGGGCCAAAGTTTCCCGCGTAATTTCATCTTAAGTAATTTGTGTAATACTGAGAGTGCGCGCGGAAGTGTACCGTAAATAACTACTATTAAATATGCACATTACTCAGGCCATCACAAGCGCGGATTAAATAACTTCCCAGAGTTTTAAATAAGAATGTTTTAACATTTCAGATCGTCAGTAAACACCTAACAGGAGCCGCACAACCGCCATCATGGCGCCGCCCAGTAAGGCTCCGCGCGCTTGTCGCTCCACCTCATCTCATCTATTATATTTCATCCCACAACTCTTTCTCAATTTCTTTTAATATTAAAATTTTTTGATGCTTAGTAAATTGTTTGTTCTCAATAACAACTTTTAAGCAAATTAAAAAGTTATTTTCCTATATAATTTATAATATGTGTGTTTTGCACGACAAGGCTCTTCTAAGCCTAACGCGACGGTTGACTTTAGTTTGCTGAGGCGTGGATAGCAGATAGACTAAATGTTCAAGCCTTTTGGAATTAAAATCTGTATAACTCATGAACCATAGAACATTGTTCCTTCAAGAATGACTTCCTGTTGGGAAGATGAGGCGTATAGAAACGTGTATGACTTCCTGTTGGGAAGATGAGGCGTATAGAAACGTGTATGACTTCCTGTTGGGAAGATGAGGCGTATAGAAACGTGTATGACTTCCTGTTGGGAAGATGAGGCGTATAGAAACGTGTATGACTTCCTGTTGGGAAGATGAGGCGTATAGAAACGTGTATGACTTCCTGTTGGGAAGATGAGGCGTATAGAAACGTGTATGACTTCCTGTTGGGAAGATGAGGCGTATAGAAACGTGTATGACTTCCTGTTGGGAAGATGAGGCGTATAGAAACGTGTATGACTTCCTGTTGGGAAGATGAGGCGTATAGAAACGTGTATGACTTCCTGTTGGGAAGATGAGGCGTATAGAAACGTGTATGACTTCCTGTTGGGAAGATGAGGCGTATAGAAACGTGTATGACTTCCTGTTGGGAAGATGAGGCGTATAGAAACGTGTATGACTTCCTGTTGGGAAGATGAGGCGTATAGAAACGTGTATGACTTCCTGTTGGGAAGATGAGGCGTATAGAAACGTGTATGACTTCCTGTTGGGAAGATGAGGCGTATAGAAACGTGTATGACTTCCTGTTGGGAAGATGAGGCGTATAGAAACGTGTATGACTTCCTGTTGGGAAGATGAGGCGTATAGAAACGTGTATGACTTCCTGTTGGGAAGATGAGGCGTATAGAAACGTGTATGACTTCCTGTTGGGAAGATGAGGCGTATAGAAACGTGTATGACTTCCTGTTGGGAAGATGAGGCGTATAGAAACGTGTATGACTTCCTGTTGGGAAGATGAGGCGTATAGAAACGTGTATGACTTCCTGTTGGGAAGATGAGGCGTATAGAAACGTGTATGACTTCCTGTTGGGAAGATGAGGCGTATAGAAACGTGTATGACTTCCTGTTGGGAAGATGAGGCGTATAGAAACGTGTATGACTTCCTGTTGGGAAGATGAGGCGTATAGAAACGTGTATGACTTCCTGTTGGGAAGATGAGGCGTATAGAAACGTGTATGACTTCCTGTTGGGAAGATGAGGCGTATAGAAACGTGTATGACTTCCTGTTGGGAAGATGAGGCGTATAGAAACGTGTATGACTTCCTGTTGGGAAGATGAGGCGTATAGAAACGTGTATGACTTCCTGTTGGGAAGATGAGGCGTATAGAAACGTGTATGACTTCCTGTTGGGAAGATGAGGCGTATAGAAACGTGTATGACTTCCTGTTGGGAAGATGAGGCGTATAGAAACGTGTATGACTTCCTGTTGGGAAGATGAGGCGTATAGAAACGTGTATGACTTCCTGTTGGGAAGATGAGGCGTATAGAAACGTGTATGACTTCCTGTTGGGAAGATGAGGCGTATAGAAACGTGTATGACTTCCTGTTGGGAAGATGAGGCGTATAGAAACGTGTATGACTTCCTGTTGGGAAGATGAGGCGTATAGAAACGTGTATGACTTCCTGTTGGGAAGATGAGGCGTATAGAAACGTGTATGACTTCCTGTTGGGAAGATGAGGCGTATAGAAACGTGTATGACTTCCTGTTGGGAAGATGAGGCGTATAGAAACGTGTATGACTTCCTGTTGGGAAGATGAGGCGTATAGAAACGTGTATGACTTCCTGTTGGGAAGATGAGGCGTATAGAAACGTGTATGACTTCCTGTTGGGAAGATGAGGCGTACAGAAACGTGTATGACTTCCTGTTGGGAAGATGAGGCGTACAGAAACGTGTATGACTTCCTGTTGGGAAGATGAGGCGTACAGAAACGTGTATGACTTCCTGTTGGGAAGATGAGGCGTACAGAAACGTGTATGACTTCCTGTTGGGAAGATGAGGCGTACAGAAACGTGTATGACTTCCTGTTGGGAAGATGAGGCGTACAGAAACGTGTATGACTTCCTGTTGGGAAGATGAGGCGTACAGAAACGTGTATGACTTCCTGTTGGGAAGATGAGGCGTACAGAAACGTGTATGACTTCCTGTTGGGAAGATGAGGCGTACAGAAACGTGTATGACTTCCTGTTGGGAAGATGAGGCGTACAGAAACGTGTATGACTTCCTGTTGGGAAGATGAGGCGTACAGAAACGTGTATGACTTCCTGTTGGGAAGATGAGGCGTACAGAAACGTGTATGACTTCCTGTTGGGAAGATGAGGCGTACAGAAACGTGTATGACTTCCTGTTGGGAAGATGAGGCGTACAGAAACGTGTATGACTTCCTGTTGGGAAGATGAGGCGTACAGAAACGTGTATGACTTCCTGTTGGGAAGATGAGGCGTACAGAAACGTGTATGACTTCCTGTTGGGAAGATGAGGCGTACAGAAACGTGTATGACTTCCTGTTGGGAAGATGAGGCGTACAGAAACGTGTATGACTTCCTGTTGGGAAGATGAGGCGTACAGAAACGTGTATGACTTCCTGTTGGGAAGATGAGGCGTACAGAAACGTGTATGACTTCCTGTTGGGAAGATGAGGCGTACAGAAACGTGTATGACTTCCTGTTGGGAAGATGAGGCGTACAGAAACGTGTATGACTTCCTGTTGGGAAGATGAGGCGTACAGAAACGTGTATGACTTCCTGTTGGGAAGATGAGGCGTACAGAAACGTGTATGACTTCCTGTTGGGAAGATGAGGCGTACAGAAACGTGTATGACTTCCTGTTGGGAAGATGAGGCGTACAGAAACGTGTATGACTTCCTGTTGGGAAGATGAGGCGTACAGAAACGTGTATGACTTCCTGTTGGGAAGATGAGGCGTACAGAAACGTGTATGACTTCCTGTTGGGAAGATGAGGCGTACAGAAACGTGTATGACTTCCTGTTGGGAAGATGAGGCGTACAGAAACGTGTATGACTTCCTGTTGGGAAGATGAGGCGTACAGAAACGTGTATGACTTCCTGTTGGGAAGATGAGGCGTACAGAAACGTGTATGACTTCCTGTTGGGAAGATGAGGCGTACAGAAACGTGTATGACTTCCTGTTGGGAAGATGAGGCGTACAGAAACGTGTATGACTTCCTGTTGGGAAGATGAGGCGTACAGAAACGTGTATGACTTCCTGTTGGGAAGATGAGGCGTACAGAAACGTGTATGACTTCCTGTTGGGAAGATGAGGCGTACAGAAACGTGTATGACTTCCTGTTGGGAAGATGAGGCGTACAGAAACGTGTATGACTTCCTGTTGGGAAGATGAGGCGTACAGAAACGTGTATGACTTCCTGTTGGGAAGATGAGGCGTATAGAAACGTGTATGACTTCCTGTTGGGAAGATGAGGCGTACAGAAACGTGTATGACTTCCTGTTGGGAAGATGAGGCGTATAGAAACGTGTATGACTTCCTGTTGGGAAGATGAGGCGTATAGAAACGTGTATGACTTCCTGTTGGGAAGAGGCGTATAGAAACGTGTATGACTTCCTGTTGGGAAGATGAGGCGTATAGAAACGTGTATGACTTCCTGTTGGGAAGATGAGGCGTATAGAAACGTGTATGACTTCCTGTTGGGAAGATGAGGCGTATAGAAACGTGTATGACTTCCTGTTGGGAAGATGAGGCGTATAGAAACGTGTATGACTTCCTGTTGGGAAGATGAGGCGTATAGAAACGTGTATGACTTCCTGTTGGGAAGATGAGGCGTATAGAAACGTGTATGACTTCCTGTTGGGAAGATGAGGCGTATAGAAACGTGTATGACTTCCTGTTGAGGCGGAAACGTGTAGATGAGGCGTATAGAAACGTGTATGACTTCCTGTTGGGAAGATGAGGCGTATAGAAACGTGTATGACTTCCTGTTGGGAAGATGAGGCGTATAGAAACGTGTATGACTTCCTGTTGGGAAGATGAGGCGTATAGAAACGTGTATGACTTCCTGTTGGGAAGATGAGGCGTATAGAAACGTGTATGACTTCCTGTTGGGAAGATGAGGCGTATAGAAACGTGTATGACTTCCTGTTGGGAAGATGAGGCGTATAGAAACGTGTATGACTTCCTGTTGGGAAGATGAGGCGTATAGAAACGTGTATGACTTCCTGTTGGGAAGATGAGGCGTATAGAAACGTGTATGACTTCCTGTTGGGAAGATGAGGCTGTTGGGAAGATGAGGCGTATAGAAACGTGTATGACTTCCTGTTGGGAAGATGAGGCGTATAGAAACGTGTATGACTTCCTGTTGGGAAGATGAGGCGTATAGAAACGTGTATGACTTCCTGTTGGGAAGATGAGGCGTATAGAAACGTGTATGACTTCCTGTTGGGAAGATGAGGCGTATAGAAACGTGTATGACTTCCTGTTGGGAAGATGAGGCGTATAGAAACGTGTATGACTTCCTGTTGGGAAGATGAGGCGTATAGAAACGTGTATGACTTCCTGTTGGGAAGATGAGGCGTATAGAAACGTGTATGACTTCCTGTTGGGAAGATGAGGCGTATAGAAACGTGTATGACTTCCTGTTGGGAAGATGAGGCGTATAGAAACGTGTATGACTTCCTGTTGGGAAGATGAGGCGTATAGAAACGTGTATGACTTCCTGTTGGGAAGATGAGGCGTATAGAAACGTGTATGACTTCCTGTTGGGAAGATGAGGCGTATAGAAACGTGTATGACTTCCTGTTGGGAAGATGAGGCGTATAGAAACGTGTATGACTTCCTGT